ACATCAATATTGCATTTCACTTGTGAGTATTTCATTTCTATAGAATGACATGAGAGTGGAATTAATTAAAAAATATGAATGGTTGAATTTTAAGTAAGAAATCTATAGGGTTTGTTTAACCTCTGGGAACCTAATTTGCATCAAATCTACATTTTGCTTTTGTGCTCTGTCATGGCCATTTATTGCTACCTTCTAATTTTTTAATTTCTCATTTTCCCTTAAGTGTGTTATATTTCCAAGTAAGTTGGTACTTCAGAGACTGCTATGAAAAAAAGAAATTCTTTTGGCTTAAAATAGAAGAGGAACTTTACTAATGTAATGTTATTTGGCATTCGTATGGAGCATAAACTATACCCTGGGACAGTCACCCAAAAGGGTTAAGACCAGAGAAAGAATCTGCTTGCTTATTAAAAATGCATACATTACCTCAGTCATAGGAATAGCCCCAAACTCGCCCAGCCACTGCCTCTGCAGATCACCCACCAGCATTAGCATTACATCATATGACATTAAGGAACAATCGTGAACTCTGTGTAGTACTTGAATGTATTGTTTTGAAAGAATACACTGTCATTAACTGGAATAAAAGCTTTCTGAAATCAAACCTGGGGGGTAGCCCTCACTGTGTGGCCCTTTTACTTCTTTGAGAAACAGCCTCATCCTGAAAGCAGTAAAGGGGGAAAGAGATTAGAGTATAAAGGCAACAGAGATGAGTGATCCCTGCCCAGGCCAGCAAGCAGATGCAGGGCTTTAAATTACCGGGCAGAACAATGTCAAAGCAGGAGGCTCTGTAACAAACGCGGCACCTGAAAATCCAAGCCAGCTCACACCCATCACCCTATTTCCCATTTCAGCCTCATGATTTTTACCATGGGCTTCGCTAGAATTGGAAACTGAGTCTTTCTTTTTTAAATCAAAGTATAATTGACTTACCATACTATATTCGTTTCAGGTGTACAACATAGTGATTCGATATTTTTATACATCACGAAAAGATCACCATGACAAATCTAGTTACCAGCTGTCACCATAGAAAGTTATTACAATATTACCGATTATACTCCTGATGCTGTACCTTACATCCCTATGATTTATCTATTTTAAAACTGGAAGTTTATACCTCTTAATCTCCCTCGCCTATTTCCCTCATCTGCAACTCCCCTCTCCTCTGGCAACCACAAGTTTGTTCTCTGTATCTATGAGTCTGAAACTGAGTCTTATTCTATGTACAAAATAGTTAAAACTCGATGTCCTGATGTCATCTGGAGATAGGCTATCACTTATAGCCATGTGACTCTAGGCAAGGAACTGAAGCTCTCTGAGCCTCAATGTTTTAATGTAGAAAATGGAAAGAATAATAGGTATGCAGAGCACGGGAGGTGAGGATTAGCTACTATTGCTATCATGATTATACTTATCACTTCCACCCAGTCGTCCCCTTTGCCTACCTTTTCTAATCACTGTCCAAGATGTTTCTCCTTCACAAGTAAAACGCGAGCATCAACTTAAATGCTCACTGGCTTATTTTGTGCCCTGCAGTCTGGCCACTGCCCCTTGTTACCATTTCTACTTTCACATCACTCTCCTCAGGTGATTTCTCTACCCTCTTTAGCCAAATTCTAGGACTCCTCTGAACTAGACGCTGCTTCTCGCGAGCTTTCCTCTCTCCTGCACCTATTCTCAACATACTCAACAACCAAGGTTCAGAGAGGTGAAAAACAAAGTCAGGGCAACACAGCCAGTTGGTAGCCAAGTCACAATTAAAATGCAGGTAGTAGAACCCTTGTAAACTGTTGGTGGGAGTATAAATTGGTGCAGCCACTGTGAAAAACAGTATGGAGGTTCCTTAAAAAACTAAAAATAGTACTACCATATGATCCAGCAATTCCACTCCTGTGCATACATCCAGAAAAAACAAAAACACTAATTTGAAAAGATACGTGCACCCCAATGTTCATAATAGCACTATTTACAATAGCCAAGATATGGATGCAACCCAAGTGCCCATCAACAGATTACTGGATTAAGATGTGGTAATATAGGGCTTCCCTGGTGGCGCAGTGGTTGAGAGTCCACCTGACAATGCAGGGGACACGGGTTTGTGCCCCGGTCCGGGAAGATCCCACATGCCACAGAGCGGCTGGGCCCGTGAGCCATGGCCGCTGAACCTGCGCGTCCGGAGCCTGTGCTCCACAACGGGAGAGGCCACAACAGTGAGAGGCCCGCATACCGCAAAAAAAAAAAAAAAAAGATGTGGTAATATATATACAATGGAATATGACTCAGTCTTAGAAAAGAATGAAATACTGCCATCTGCAGCAATGTGGATGGACCTGGAGAATATTATGCTTAGTGATATAAGTCAGAGAAAAAGACAAATACTATATGATATCATGTATATGCAGAATCTAAAAAATAATACAAATGAAGGTATATGCAAAAGAGAAACAGAGTCACAGATATAGAAAACAAATCTGAGGTTACCAAAGGGGAGAGAAAAGGGGTAGGAACAAATCAGAGGTATGGGAGTAACAGATACAAACTACTAAATATATCAATAAAATAGATAAGCAACAAGAATATACTGCATAGCACAGGGAATTAAACCCATTATCTCAGAATAACCTACAATGGAATATAATCTGCAAAATACTGAATCACTATGCTATACACCTGAAACTACACAATATTGTAAATCAAATATGCTTCAATCAAAAATAAATAAAATCCAGGTAGTAATGCAAGCAAGTCCAGCTGTGTCGCATTAACTGCACCACACTAATAATTCACTCTTGGGGTTCCCAGTAACGATTTTAAATCTGAGGTTAGCTTCCCTTAACACCAAACCTTCTCCCAGATGTTTCCCCTACTAGTCAACTTATCATAAAATATGAACTATTTCAAATGCTTAAAGAAGAAACACTAATTCCAGAAAATTATTAAATACATCTCAAAGTTCTGGGGTTGTTTTTTTAGTTTTTAGTTTTTGTTTGCCTTCAGCATTTCCCAGAAGTGGGGACAAAACTAGATCTCACAGGCCTCACCCAGGACTAGACGACTTTGGGAGGAAAGAGGACACAGTTAACAGGAAGTGGAGGCATGAACACTGTGACTGTGAGCAATACATGCAACTCCAGAAGGGATGGAGGACAGAACACAAGTGTCCGCCTCTAAGTTTCTAAAGATAAAGGTGTGTGTTTTAAATCTGATTGCACAAGGATATATGAAAATGGAAATTTCATTCATGTTGGCTTCTTTGGAGAATCACATTATTCCTCAAAATAACAGAAACTAATGAGAAGATGGGTAACGGGATGTAATGTGTTGTTTTGCGTAAGAATCAGAAGAGTTTACCAGTGTCTAACACTGAGGTCTCTGGGGGAAGATTGAAAGCTTGTATTTCCTCATCTGTAAAGCAGATGAAGTACTGGGAAGAATGAGAAGTATATGGATCATCTATAAAGCACCATTTGGTTTTATTTTTGTTTTTTAAGTACAGTGTGGAATAGTTTAACTAGTACAGGATTTGACATCAGTGATAAAGGTTCAAGTTCAACCTCTAGCTGCCAGCTGTCTAATCTGGCACAAATCATTCAAACATATTTAATGATGTAAGAACTAAAGGGATAATGTATATGTGTGTGTAGGGGAGGGAACCTTTTAATACAAATAGCTCTATAAATGTAAGATGTTTCATATTATACTGTACCAGGTTAAGTAAACCAGGGTAGGTCAACTAAATCATTTACATTTCCTAATCTTTTGTGGTGAGAGGGGGACAGAGTGATTCTTACAGCAGAAACCCCATTCAGTTAATAAAAAATCATTGCCACTACTTAATAAAGATATGAAAATAATAAAATAAAGTAATGCATGTATTAATAACAAGTTAATAAAAATATAAAATAAAATCATCAAATGAATAATAAAATTCATATTAAAAGGTAACTACCTCAATATATGCTAATCATATATTAAGAGGGATGACGGTTTGTACACATTCTCTCCTCTCAAACACGAACTCCCTGTCAAACAAAACAGTTGCCAGGATTAATTATAAGTGTATCAGTAATCATGGAGATTTTCTCTATGGAGGTAAACTAGTCAACCCATAGTCCAGATCACAAATAAGAATGAAAATCTTTTTGGGGAAATATGACAGGTAAGCCAACTTCATCATCATTCATTCATTCATTCATTTACTCAGTCCCTACTTTACACTAGGCTCTATTCCAAGTGCTGAGGATTCAACAGTGAACAAAACATGGAAAGTTCCTACCATCATGGAGCTTTACATTCTAGCAGGGAAATACAGACAGTGAACAAATAAGTAAACTATGCAATAAGTCAAGGGTGATTATGTACTCCAGAGAAAAACAGGCAGGGAAAAGGGCTGCAATTCTAAATACAGCAGTCAAGGAAGGCTTCACCAAGAAAATGCCACTTAAGCAAAGACCTAAAGGAGATGCATAAGGCACAGAGATATCAGGGGAGAATGGTGGGGCTATGCACACCTTTCCAGCAAGTCCAGATAAGATAAAATGCAATCCCTGGAGATAATTTCTATCCTCTTAAATGTATTGAGGCTTGCTTGGGTCCTAGTATGTGGTCTATCCTAGAGAATGTTCTGTGTGCACTTGAAAAGAATGTGTATTCTGTTTTTTTGGATGGAGTGTCCTGTATGTATCAATTAAGTCCAACTGTTCTATTGTGTCATTTAGGATCTCTGTTGCCTTAATGATTTTCTGTCTGGAAGATCTGCCTATAGATGTCAGAATAGGCAGTACAGGCAGTATAGATGCTACTATAGTCAATGTCTTGTAATAACCTCTAATGGAAAAGAATCTGAAAAAGAATGTTTGTCTGTGTGTGTGTGTGTGTGTGTGTATACACACATATATATATAAAACCAAATCACTTTGCTGTACACCTGAAACTAACACAATATTGTAAATCAACTATACTTCAATAAATTTTTTTTAAGAAATGCAAGCCCTTACCTTTCAAAAGTGGCTGGAAGGTTGGAATCTCTTGCAACTTGATGACATCGGGATCATTGCTGACATTCCGTGAGGCCTGGGAGCCCTGAGCTACAACCACAATATCATCCATCTTGGCTCTATGCTTAGCTGGAGAAGGGGCCACTGAAAATAAAGTTACACCGCTCAGGAATTGCATCTTATTTAGCGACCTCCATCTCACCAAAGCTGTTTTCACTGTAGTCATTAAAAAGGATAATTTTTACACAAAAGATGCTAACCGCAGTTATCCTGCAGTGGGGGCTGGGTAGGGGAGATGAATTACAGAGGACTTCTATTTCCCACGGTATTAAAAAAAAAACCTTCAAACTTTATAGGACCATATACCATCTATGAGGCTGCTTCTGTAATTAAAAGTTTATTATTCAAAACACAAAATAATAACCAGATTGTTTTTAATTTTTACTTCTTTGATCCTCCTGACATTTGTCCCTATTTCCCAATGAGGAAATAAGCATACAAAATTTAGCTGTGGCTTGCCCAAAGTCACCAGTGCTAGAAACAGAGTTAAGGAGGGAATTGGAGGTAAATGAATTGTTGGTGTACATGACCCATTCCAGTGTTGCTGGGGTTGCAAAGCTGTGCAGCCGCCCTATCACAGCAAGCCCAGCACAATGAACAGATCCTAGTCACAGGAAAAAAATCCTGCCTTTTAACACAAGATGACGGCACCAGCCCCCTCACCCTTAAAGTCACAGGGCAGAAAGAACCGGCAGGTCCACTGTAGGCTGAGGCAAAATAAACTTGAAACTTGAAGGACTGCTAAAGAGGCAGGTCAATTTCAGGTACCCAGGAGAATGTAATCCATTTAGAGGGAAGTGATTCAAACTATCAAGGACTCCCCAGACCAAGACATCCTCTGCTCCCAAACATCTTCTGGGTGGGGCAAGAGGGAACCTTTATTGTTTTACACCCTAGAAGGTAGTATTTGCAGGATCATAATCATGTCTCAAAGGTTGATCCAGGTATGCCATAGGACCGCCCTGCCTCCTGCAGGCTAATGTCTCTTAAGGCTTGGCATTCACTCTTTTAGAATCTCAGCTACTTTCATTGCTCTTCAAGAAGTCTCTCTTCGCCTCTTTTGGTAATTTACCTAATGGAATTTACAAATCCCAAGCCCGAAATCTTTCCTAGTACAAATTCAGTGATTCCTCCTTCCCCAGATACCAGAGGAAAACAGAGTTTACTAGATTCTAGCTAGTCTCTACTACTTGTCTGTAAAATGGGGCTACTCTGAGGATTAAACATGAACACGTGTGAAGCACTTAGCACAGGGAACCAGGTAAATTCTAGCCTATGCTATTCGGTAGTATTGGTTAGTATGCTCTAGTACTGGTTAGAGCCCATGCTGTTGGTTAGTAGGTGAGCAAGCCTATTAAAAAGATGACACGCGGGCTTCCCTGGTGGCGCAGTGGTTGGGAATCCACCTGCCGATGCGGGGAACGCGGGTTCGTGCCCCGGTCCGGGAGGATCCCACGTGCCGCGTAGCGGCCGGGCCCATGGGCCGTGGCCGCTGGGCCTGCGCGTCCAGAACCTGTGCTCCGCGGCGGGAGAGGCCGCAGCGGTGAGAGGCCCGCGTACCGCAAAAACAAACAAAAAACAAAACAAAAGATGACACGCTTCTCACAAAATATGCTTCTGGCCTGACACAGAGGCAAGAAGATAAGGGGTAACAATTATTACTATATTTGTTACAACAGATACTACATTCTGGATCTTTCAAATAAATAAGAATGAATGTAGCAGTAGATGCTGCTCACCGTTAAAGGCTATCTCAATCTAGCCTACAGAATGGTAGACTGAACTAGCCTTGAAGGTTACATTTCAGTGTGGAATACCCATAGATCTGCTAGCTTCTACATTTCGGAACTACACATCCTACCAAGATCAGAGCAGTCCACGACCAGGGCTCTTTTTAGGCCCCAGATGTAAGCCAATTTGGATTAGCAACTCCAGAGCTTATCTGGGACAGTCCCAGTGGTCCTAGAGTTTGGTGGGTAACAACAAAAAAAAAGGAGCAAATGAGCCTCAATTAAGCATCAACTGTTCTGAGTGCTCATTATACTACAGGAACAATAATCCTCCCCTCCTATATCAAACTCGAAGAGAAATCTAAACATGGGCGGGGGAAGAATAGGGAAAACACCAGCTCCTGCCTTCCTAGCCAACTTCTATATTAGAAAGGGAGCCGACACACCTTCCGATGGGAAGATGCAGTTTCTGGACTCGCTCTCACCCAAGGGTTCACAGCGATTGTTCACCTGCCACACATTCCTTCTGAAAAAGAATCTCTAGAACCCATTTTTAAGAAGGAATCTGTTCTTTCAGGTCCTATGACCCATCCACTGCGCGACCCAAATCTCACTGTCAGTCATGAATACTAAAGCCAAATATTAATTAGGTCCTCCTTCAAAGAGTAGGCTGCAGCTGAGAGGAACAGCTGTTCTGAAAATAATGGGCTCGGGCGCCCACGCTGGCTTAGCTTGCAATCACAGGGACCGGCTTCCATCAGGGGAATCAAGGCTAGGGCAGATGGTAATTTTTTTCTTTTTCTTTTTTAAGAAAAAAGCATGGTGAGGGCTTTCTGTGCGTTCCTGTCCGCCGGTCCCAGTCCCCAGCAGGCTGGAAGGCAGCCCGCCCCGCAAGCAAACAGGGCTGGCTGGAGAAGGGTGGAGATCAGGGCACCGACCTGAGGAGTTCAGATCGTTGGGTCGGCTCTCGGCCTCGGAGCTCTGCTCACTGCCCATGGTGCAGGCAGCGGTGGCAGCGGAGGAACGGCGGAACGGGCGGCGACCGCTCGGGCGGCGGGGCGGCGGGGCGACAGGGAAGGGGCCGGGGACCGGGATGCGGAGGCTACACAGGCTGCGCTGTGGGGATGGCGCGCCCAGCCCAGGCGGGGGCGCGGGCGGCGGGGGACGGGAAGGCCCTATTCGAGGAAGGACGTGCAAGGAGGTGCGGCGGAGCTATACCGTGCACGCCCGCCTTATTTAGGGAAACCCAAGCCAGGGAGGCGGGGAAACGCCGGGCACCCGCCGCGCCTGCGGCCGGCGGGCGGCACCACTTTCACTCACTCGCTCGCTCGGGCGCCTCACGCTCGTTCCTTCTCGGACGCGGATTGGCAGCGCCGGCAGCGCGCAGCCGTCAGTTCCGGGTTAGAAGGCCCACCCCCCCATCCCCACCCCGCCACCGCCCCGGGCCCGAGGGAGGGCGGGGAAACTCGCGCCGGCGACTCCCGGGGCGCAGCCTTAAAGGGCCCGATCACCTCAACGCCAGAACCGCCCCAAAGGGTTACCCGTTTCCTGTTGTAATGTTGCGCGTCACCTTTAAGTATCATCTACACACTAGGCACTTTATCCCCATCGTTAAAACTTTATTAATAGGCTTTCGGGGAGTTTGTTTTGTCTTTGTGTGTGGTTTTTTTGGTATTTATTTTTGGGTTCTTTTAATTGACATAATATTGTATGAGTTTCAGGTGTACAACATAATGATACGATATTTGTAATATATTGCAAAAAATTTAACCCTGTTTTACAGATGGAAAAAGAGAGGTGCTAGATAGATTTAGGATTGGAATCCACAACTGCCTGGATGCCAAGCTCCTGTTTCAGTTCCCAAAGCTGGAAGTTTGGCAGTGGAAGACCGTACAAAAAATACTAGATGGTGAAAGAAGGAGCTGGAAATGAGAGAAAAATGAGTAGAAAATGCTGATTCATGTGTTAGGGCGTTTGTGCATCTTCAAAGGAAAGTGGATGCCCCAAGTCTAGTCACTTTCTGGCCACCTTGACAATTATCCGCGAGGCATTCTGAAACGAGCAAAGGCAAGAAAGAAGTACTACAGGTAACGCAATACAGAAACTTCCAGCTTTGGCAGGTCAAGGATTTACACCTAGCAATGCATTCCCACCAAGGAGTTGGGTGGCTCTGGGGTTCTCAGAACTTTGCAACTCATTTTATATTGTTTGTTTCACGAAATTTCCAGCAAATGCCCTGAGAGTGTCAAATTGATGAAATGATTTTCAAGTCCCTTCTACTCTACCATATCACACACATTTCTCCTGTTTTCACTCATTTGATTTTCACAACAACCCTGACGCCCATAAACAGGTAACTTCCTCATGGTTAGGTAAGTGGTGAAAGTAGGATTTAGGACTCTCTGGTTACAAATCTCATGCTCTTTCCTCTGCTCACCATTACAATACAGTCGTCCCTGGGTATCTGCAGTCCCTGGGTATCCACGGGGGATTGGTTCCAGGACCTCCAGCGGATACCAAAATCCATGGATCCGCAAATCCCTTACAGTTGGCCTCTCTGATTTCGAAGGGTAGGAACACTTGGGTATGGAGGGCCCACTGTACCTTGAGAAAACTGCAAATGAATGTAAATTCAGTATTTTGTGGGAATGGAAGATAGAACTAAAAACTGCCTGAGAGATCAAAAGAGTCTCCTAAAAGACTATAGTCTTGAAGTTTACATAAACCACCAGGCTGATGGGCCTGGGAAGGCCTTACTAAGCAATGTGCCCACTCCCTCTTGGGGCTCTCTCTCAAGACATTTCCTCTTTGGGGATGGGTGAGAGAAGAAGTAAAAGTGGGGAGAGTAAGTCATATTCTGACTCTTGTTCCCTGTCTTCCACACCAAAGTATATTTATCTTGTGTTCCATACCCTAATCTGTACTGATGTGATGGTGGTTTTTATGCTTCCCTTACGATAAATGTTTCATTCTAAAAGGATTATTCTGTCCATCAACTGATGAATAGATAAATATATCACCCCATTCTCTACTGGCCAGCAAGGTCTCTGCTGAGAAATCTGCTGACAACTCTATGTATGAGAGATTTTGTTTTTCTTGACGCTTTTAAAATTCACTCTTTGTTTCTGATTTTAGACAATTTTATAATTTGTCTTGGAAAATAATGTTTTGGATTGAGATTTTGGGGTGAGCTATTAGCTTCATGAGGTTGTATGTCCAAGTCTCTCCCCAGGTTTGGAAAGTTCTCAGCTATAATTTCTTCAAATAAGCTTTTTACCCTATTGCTTGCTCTTCTCCTTCTGAGACTCCAGTGATACGTACATCGTCTCTCTTGTGGTGTCCTATAAGTCCCATAGGTTTTCTTCATTCCTTTTCTTTTCTTTTCTTTTCTTTTAATTAATTTATTTATTTTTGGCTCTATTGGGTCTTTGTTGCTGGGCACAGGCTTTCTCCAGTTGCAGCGAGCGGGGGCTACTCTTCGTTGTGGTGCGCGGGCTTCTCATTGCACTAGCTTCTCTTGTTGTGGAGCACGGGCTGTAGGCACGCGGGCTTCAGTAGTTGTGGCTTTCAGGCTCTAGAGTGCAGGCTCAGTAGTTGTGGCTCACAGGCTTCGTTGCTCCCTGGCATGTGGGATCTTCCTGGACCAGGGCTCGAACCCGTGTCCCCTGCATTGGCAGGCGGATTCTTAACCCCTGCACTACCAGGGAAGTCCTCTTCATTCCTTTTCATTCTTTTTTTTTTTTGCTCCTCTGTTTGGGTAATTTCAATTGATCTAGTGGCCTTCTAGATCACTGATTCCTTCTGCTTCGTCAAACCTGCCATTGAAGCTCCCTGTTGAATTCTTCAGTTCAGTCATATTCTTCTGCTTCAAAATTATTGTTTGGTTCTTTTTTTATGTGTTCTGTCTCTTCATAGAACTCATTTTGTTCTTGTATTGTTTTCCTGATAGCGCTAGATTGTTTGTGTTCTTTTCTAGCTCTCTGAACATCTTTAGAATGATTATTTTGAATTCTTTATCGGGCAATTCTTGGATCTCCATTTGTTTGGGGCCAGTTACTGGAGGCTTACTGTATTCCTTTGGTGGACTCATGGTTCCCTGATTCTTCATGATCTCTGTAACCTTGCATAAGTGTCTGCTCATTTGAAGAAGGAGTCACCTCCTCCAGGCTTTATGAGCTGACTTTGGTAAAGGAAGATTTTCACTTGCAGGTGGGGACGTGCTGGAGCACGCTGTGACTCCAAGTCTAGTGGTGCAGGACGCCAAGTGCAGGGGTATGTGGTGGCACAGGGTTCAGGGTTACATGATATCTTTTAACTCAGGCCATTGGAATCCACAGTGTGGATTCAACAACTGTGGCCCTTGGCAAGCACTTCAGTGTGTTTACAGTGGCTCTAAGGGCTGTTGGGGTCCTCAGCAGCCCCTCCAGATCCAGTGGCTAGAGACCAGACAGGTAGCAGTGGTTGCTGTTGCAGTAGTGATGCATACACTCAGCTGCAGGTGCCTATAGAGAAGCAGGAGCTGGTTGCCAACACACATAGCAGTGGGGGACTGGGCAGGCAGAAAGGGTCAGTGCCAACCGAATGCTCATTGGCACCTGCAGGGGTCCTGGCTGTTGGCTAGCACTCCTTTCGCTGCCAGGTCTCACCGTGGGTTCATGGCAGTGGAGGCCAGTGACAGGGGTCTGGCCAGGGGCATGCAGGTGCACATCTGGAGGGACTGGCTGCCGGTGAGCGCAGTGGTACAGGCCAGTGACAGAAGGGCCTGATCTGGGCCCACAGGCAGCTGCGGGGGCCCTGGCTGTTGGCACGCCCTTCTGTGGCTGCACAGTTTGCCCCAGGCACGTGCACTGAGGTGGAGGCCAGTGACGGGCATCAGGTGGTTGGCATGCAAGGTTGCAGCTGGAAGGGCTAGCCCAGATTGTGCACATGATGGTGGAGTTCAACCAGAGGGTCCAGACTGGCATCTTGCATTCATGCAACCACAGAGGCCTGGGCTGGCTGCCAGTGTTGTTCCAGACTCCAGGGGAGGATAGGGGCAGGGGAGGGAGCAGAGAGGGACACAGGCGGCTGTCATCAGTGGGTGTGAATACCTGTAGGGTGAAATCTATGGGGGGTGGGGTCTGAGGTAGCTGTGCTGGTCGTTGGTTTCTTCAGCGGTGAAAGCTGCTGGGTTTGTTTGCAGAGCAGGTCACTGGAACCATGATCTCTTCTGCTGCATAACTGCTGTTAGAAGTTCCTGCTTTTCTTCCTTGTTCCTAGTCATCTCTATACGTCTTAGCTTTGCAGGTCTGGGTGGGGTGAAACCAAACGTGGACCATCGTGCGGTGCCCTGAAAGGCTGGGGAAGCTGGGTCCTCACCCCGCTCCTTCTTTCTAGCAAGGGGAACTCTTTCTTGCTGGCAAATTCCCTCTTGGTGCTGAGCAGTGCTGGCTAGGGGGATGGGATGATGTGGGCAAAATGAAGCTACCTTCCTTCTTTCCTTGTGTAGTTATTCTCAAGTTTTTTGTTCTGCTGGGTTGCTGTAGTTTCTTAAGTGGACTCCAGAGCTCTCCCAGACCTGTTTTTGTTTGTAGATAGCTGTCTAACTGTTCATCTTTGTGGGGGGACAGAGGCTGGGGCCTCCTATGTTGCCATTTATTTTCAATGAATGGATAAATAAAGCGTGGTATATCTGTATCGTAGGGTATTATTTGGCAGGGGAAAAAAAGGGGAATGAAGTACTAATACATGCTGCAACATGGATAAACGTTGAAAACATTATGTTACGTGAAACAAGCCCATCACAAAAGACCACGGATTGTAGATTCCATTTACATGAAATGTCCACAAGGGGCACTATAGAGACAAAAATAAGTAAGTGGTTGTCTAAGGCTGAAAAGGAGGGCTGGTGTGGAGGCGATATGGGTTAATGGGTGTGGGGATTTCTTTCTGGGAGTGTTGAAAATGTTCTAAAATTTATTGTGGTGGGAATTCCCTGGTGGTCCAGTAGTTAGGACTCCGTTCTTCCACTGCAGGAGGCACGGGTTCCATCCCTGGTCAGGGAACTAAGATCCCACATGACCCGTGGTGCAGCCAAAGGAAAACAAAGAAAAGAAAAGAAAAGAAAGCTAAAATTTATTGTGATCATGGTTGCACAACTCTGTGAATATATTAAAAATCACTGAATTGCACACTTCAGGCGAATTGTATAGTATGTGAACTATACCTCAATAAAGCTGTCGCTCAGAAAAAGGATATTGGAAGATAAAATGCCTTCATTCATTGACTCAGAATTTATTGGGAGCCTATAATTTGCCAGGCACTTGCTAGACACTAGGGAAGAAAGATCCAGCAAGACTCAGTCTCCCTATCCTTAGGAAGC